AGAGGGGAGACTAGGGGGAGGTGGCCAGATCTAAGGCCTCAGGGTCTTGGGAAAGGTTTTGGATTTTATGTTGGCTCATCATATTTTATGTTGGCTCAGCTATAATGAGTTTAACAACCAATGGAGGGTTTTAAGGGACATACCTGTTTAACTGTTTCAAAATAGATGATTATGGCAGTTCTAAACAGAATGGATTTTAGGAAGATACCTTAGTCTGTTCAGGCTGCAATAACAAAATATCATAGACTGGGTGAGTTATGGCATTCTGGTTGCTGGAAGTCCAAGCTGAAGGTGCAGGCTGGTTTGTTATCTAGTGAGGGCCAATTTCCTGGTTCATAAATAGCGCTTTCTCCCTGTATTCTCACATTTCAGAAGGGCGAACCCACCTCTCTATGGTCTGTTTTATAAAGGCACTAATTCAGACCTGAGATTCCTGCCTTTATGGTCTAATCACTGGTGATTAGGTTTCGACATATGAATTTGAGGGGGAGGAGACACAAGCATTCAGGAGGCAAGAGTGGTGTTAAGGATAACGGGTAGAAAGAAGGTCACTGTGGATGTTCAGGTGGGATCGAGTGTTGAGAAATGGATGACGTTTCAGAATGACTGATTTAACATATGAGGGGGGTGCTAATAAGCAAATCTAACTGGGCACAGAGTGCAAAAAAATAATGAAAAATTGACACATTTAATTTTAGATAGCTATGTGATACTACAAGAATTTTTTTTTTACTTTACTAATATAGCCATTAAGTAGATTTTGAAAGTGAGCTGAAATGGGATAGGATGTTGGCTCAGCTATAAACACTGAAAATTGAGATGTCTGACACTATGGGATGCAGTTTCCTGAATATTTTTGTTTTGTTTATATTTCAGCTTTAACTCTCTGAACCTCACTTTTCCCAACTGTAAAATAAAGATCATATCCATGCATTGCCGGTGGATATAGAGCTTGGCATGTAAGAGAACTTTGGCAAAACAATTGCTGTTGATAATACCACTCCTGGGGAAATACCTCAGTATAAACTTTGTTTTCAGTAGTGTGGTTGTTGGCTCTAAACAAAATTATTTCATTTTTCAACCTTTTATATTAAGAAAAAAATAATGCCCGCATGCAGTGGCTCACACCTGTAATCCCAGCACTTTGGAAGGAGGAGACCGGCAGATCACTAGGTCAGGGGTTCGAGAACAGCCTGGCCAACATGATGAAACCCTGTCTCTACTAAAAATGCAAAAATTAGCCGGGTGTGGTGGCGGGTGCCCAGGGAGACTCCATCTCAGGGGAAAAAAAAAAAAAAAAAGATTATTCTGATGTTCATTCTTAGTGCTATTCCATGGCCTTTCCAGTTTTTTTATGTCACCTATTTCTCTGATTCATAAGAAAATGGTATCCTTTTCTTCCTTTTGCTGGTGAGAAAGCTAATTTCCAAGGAATTAATTGAGATGGTGAGGGTTACCAGTTAAGCCTTTGTTAAAGGTAAAACTAGCATCTATATAAAGATACAGCTTAGTGATGCATTGTCTGTCGTTCATGTTTTACAGCTGGAATCACTAATCAGAGACCTGAATCATTACTTTTCCATGACTGCTTTAGAGATTCAAGTCTCTCAATTTTGTGTTAGTTACACATGCTCTCTTTTGTTTATTGCCTTTTAGTTTTGAATTGTTGCTTAGTTCCACTGCACCATGTCAAGGCCTATTTATCTCTAAAAGCTAATAGCTTCCAGAAAGAGCTGGGGGACAAGATCTGAGCACTGAAAGAGTTGTGTATGTCTTCCTTCTGTGGATTAGTTGAAAGAAACAACTCATGGGAAAACAAATTAACTTTTTCCAGTATTTTAGTTTTACTTTCCAGTATAGTAATTTTTTTCACCACTTTCCATTTATTTATTTATTTATTTAGAGACAGGTCTTACTCTGTCACCCAGGCTGGAGTGCAGTGGCACAGTCATAACTCACTGTAGCCTCTAAGTCCCAGGCTCCAGTGATCCTCCCACTGCAGCCTCCAGAGTGGCTGGAACTGCATGCACATGCCACCATGCTCATCTAATTTTTTTAGAGACAGGGTTGCTTCATGTTGTTCAGGCTGGTCTCGAACTCCTGGGCTCAAGTGATCCACCTGCCTCAGCCTCCTAAAGTTCTGGGATTATAGGTGTGAGCCACCATGGCTGACCTTTCTTTGGAATTTTAAATCATTTTACCAAATGCCCAAAACTCTGTAGTACTGGTAGTATTTAGTCAAGTTCTGAGAATATTTTTTTTTAAAAATATTTTTTTTTAAAAAAGAGAATATTAAAAAGCTTAATAAAATACTAGCATGTACTGGACATAATATGCTATTCTAGTAAGTCTTAATAATTATCTATAAAATGTTAACACTTTTATTCATATTTCCTTATAATCAAATTGAACGGATACATTTTTCTCTTAGGAAAAGTACTAATGAGCCTAGTGCTTTAACACTTGGGAGAAAAATAGATAAATGCGACTAAACACAAGTCCCTGAGATGATAGTCATTGCCAAGTGTGCACAGATGGGAAACTGGCATCTTTTGAATGTAGAAGGAGAGGTGTATCCCATGTGAGGGGAGCACCATTGTGATTTTGAAGATTATACCATGCATTCTCTTGTTGGTATCTGCTTAATTTCTAGCAATATGTCATTAACATTTCTTTTGTGAGTTTTTTTAAAAACACATCTTGAACTTTTAAACTTTTAAGTAAATAAGAATTCTAAATGCGTATAATTCTTTCATTAAGGAAGTGAACGCCCAGAAGTGCATACAATTTCTTTAAACACTTTTATACTCTGTTAAAGTTTGTTTTAGGAAATCCTTGTTTAACATTATACATCAAAGACATTCTAAGCTTAATTTCTAAAATATTAAATGCCAAAGAGTAGAAAATTCTTAAAAACAACCACTTCCAACTTGTCACTTTATTGTTAACATTGACAGTTTCACATGGAAATTGTCAAATTTCAGTTTTATTTGACTCTTTAAGTCAAATAGTAAATGTGACTGAACCTTCAATATTTTAATTAAAACAATTTTTAAGTATTTGTCTTTCCTTATCTTTTATTTTTTTCATAGACCTCATTCTTAGATAATTCTGAAATCACTTCCATTGATACTCACATGTGACTCAAGTTTGAAATATGGAAATAGTTATTGGGGTGGTGTGTGTGTGTGTGTGTACCTTCTGTGTGCCATAAAATAATCAGGCAAAGTGATTTTAAGATAGTAATCTTTAGCAAAAGCAGTAATTTTATTTTTCTTCCTCTAAAGAGTTAAGCAGATCTAGACTTGAAAGTTTGCTGACTTAGGTGTTTCTTGTATAGTTCAAGTGAAATTGCAAATAATTTCTGTTTGTTTGAGCAGCATGGCTAAGGAGAGCGTTTTATTTGAAAGAAAGGTGACCATTATGTCTTACAATGTAAATTTTACTTTGATATTTCCTTTTTGGTATTCTTGGCAAAGCCATTTATGGTCTGGTATTTGTCTCTAGTATTGTTCCTCTTTATATTACTTAATTGTGCTTTTTATTTTACTTGAAATTAGAGGCATATAGCTTCCAAAGACAGCTTTATGCTGAATAAATTCATGTCTCCAGAGGTGGCATATGCAGCTTGTCTAAGAGAAAATAAGCAAAGATGGCTTCCATCGTATATAATTCTGACCCAGTTTCTAAAGTGTAGGTAGAGACCACCACCCAAATCCTACTCATGAAGTCTAAGTACCTGGGCTGTGCAGATGTGGATGAAACGCCAATATAGTTGTATGGGTTTTTTTAAATTAATTTTTAATCATACAAGGGACATAGATTTGTTTCTCCTGTTAAAACAGAACATACACATGAAGCCAGTTCTCCTCTGGCTACCACACCTCAATAGGCATAAGCATCCTGCATAAAACTAGAGCTACACTGTATGATTACAGTGATTGAATGGCCAAGATCCTAAAATGAAAATCTGCCTAAATTTTCCTTGTTTAGGAAATTCTGAACTCCTCAAGGGTTAGAAAGAGGAGACCCACAGGGTTACCCACATGATTCTGGCCTGTGGTACCACAAGAGAGAGGTAGAGAGGGAAAGAATGTTCTTGTTCAAGAATACACCAAACTTCAATGAGGTTAAGTTGTACAAACTTAAGTGGAATTTTATATTAGGAGACGTTATCTAACTCAGTATACATGTATATGTATATAGATAGATACATACCTACATGTATTTATCAAATAATTTTATTAGAACGTAATAAAAAAACTATTTCTAGTTCTTGCTTATATTTTTGTTCATCCACATAATCTATACATTTGATCCCTACCATTTGTGCCTACTACATGGTAGGAATTTTTCAGACATTATTTCTAATGTAGTTATCCCTATTTTACTTCTTAGGAAGTTGAGATTCAGAGAAGTAAATAGTGTATCCCAATTTGCAGTAGTAGTCAGGAAATGGGATGGGGTTGAATGCTGTTTCTCCTTAGCTTCTTTTTTGGCATCATGTTGCCTCAGAGGATCAGCTTCTGGGATGTAGAAATAAAATTGTTTAATGTCTTTGACTTATTAAATGGCATAAAAGTTTTAAATTCTCATTCTAATGTCCTTCTAATTTTCTGAAGATCTGTCTTTAATGACAGAGAAGATACTCTCTGAATGTTTAACCACCAATACTAAGTGGGTTCTGACCAGAGTGTGTTCCACTTGTATGTCTAACAGTGAATGTCAACTCAGGCAGAAGGCCTCATGAAGCCTAATTAATAGCAATATAGGCTGGTTTAAACTCTTTTGGCCAGTTAATATATTTTTTAGAAAGTACCACACAATGTTATTCTCAAAATCTTTGTCTAAATCTGGTATTAGCTATAGTTACAACATTCTGGCTTCAAGCTCTCAAGTCGTTTTTTGGGTTTGTTTTTATTGAGTCATTGAAAAATTAAAGTAAATGAACCTATAGAATTTCTTGACTGAGAATATGTCCTGTTTTTCCCTTTCTCTAGGTCTATTATTAGCAGAAGATTTTTCTGCATAGTTGGCACGCTGTACCTGTATCGGTGTATTACAATGTATGTAACTACACTCCCAGTACCCGGCATGCATTTCAACTGTTCTCCGAAGGTAAACTATCCCTTGCTGTAATTTCCCTTTCTGTTTGTTTCTCATCTTGCCCTGGGGTCCTTTGACTGAGGTTGCAGGAAAAAATTTTTCAGAATACAGTTGAGTCCCTCCTCCATCTAAGAATATTACTAAACGATGTGGCTAAGGGGCCCCACCCTTCCCAGAATCTCTAAGCCCTGCCAGTGCCTCCCGACTGGGGAAATATATGGTCTAGTTTGTGTGTTAGAAGCAGTTAAGCTTTGTGTGGGGGTGTAGTTCCTTGGTTTCCTGCCAAACTTTTAAAATATCACTCATTTCTTTGACACTCATCCAGAAGCTTTTATATGCTTCCTCTCTCTCTCTTTGGAGGGAAAGCTCAATTTCAAGTGATATTTTTTCCATTTTCCTTCTTTCTATTAATCACTACAGCAGAGCCAGGAAGGAAGAGTATTCTTATCTCCTTGTAGTCCTCTACCAAACCAAATAAGATTACTGTTCTCTGGGGTAATATATGGCCTTACTGATTTTCTCTAGTAACATGGAAGTCTTTTTTAAAATGAACTTTATTTCTCTCTTATTATTTCTACCTTTCCATCAGATTCACATGACACTCTTTATCCCCTAACCTTTACCTTGAAAGAATTTTTAACTAGGGTGATTGTTGGAACTCTATGAAATAATTAGCAGAAGATTTTATTGTTAAAATATTTATGTACATGAAAGCTCTTTAATGCACTTTTTTAAAAAAGGCTAATTTCTCTCCTTGATTTTTGGTGGGAGAAAATATAGCATACTCTGATGTAATGGAGATCATTTTTTGCATTTTGCCTGTGTGGGTGAAACAGCCAAATGCTTTCAGTCTCATTGATTTGTACTTTTGTTCCTCTGAGAAGATATGTTTTCTCTGATAGAACCTTTGGAAAGAGAGCTAAAGAATTCACTCCGGATTTTTAATTTGATCATAAGAAATTTTGGATTTCTTTAATTTGTATGTCCCTTGTGGCCCCCTTCTTTCCTATACTTACATATGTGCCTACAGAGATAGCTCATTTCTTACTTAACTTTTTCCTTTTTTTTTCTTTTACTACACACTACTTCCTTACCTCCAGAAAAGCTGTCATACAAAAGGAATGTTCTCAACATTCCACTCATCTCTATCAGCCATCCTGCCCCCCTGCACTCTTTCTTGCAGTTTCTTTCACCCTTTCAAAGAAGCCAGCTTCACATCTTTTTTGTTGTCTGTGAAAGCTCTCAAGCACTCACCTGTTGCTCCTGGGTTATAGGGAATATCTTGTTGTCATTGAAAATCCAAGGATGTGGACTCTTGCTGGCAGGCTGCCTTGATAAGCAGCCTATTCTCAGCAGTAAACTGACAGTTTAGGATGTTCACCTAAGTTTAATTCAATTCCTTAAAAAAGTTTGTGCATTGAGAAATTTTGCTCCCAAGGGCTAGGTAGATGTGGATTCTGGCCAAGCACATGTTGAAGATGGATCCAGTATTGAGGGACCGACCGTACCATGTAGTCTTTCTCCCTACTCTGCTTTTAAACTTGTTTCTTCTTGAGGACCACTGTAACTCCACCAGTTGCTGGCAAGCCCATACTTGGTGAGCCATTGGTTCTTACAGAGTCAGCTTGAGTCATCAACATATCTCACCAATATTCCGTGCCTAAGAATAGCTTGTGGATTTTCTTTGTAAACACAGAAGTAGCAGCAGGAACTATGCACAAAAGCCAAACTCAGACGTGTTGCTCATTTATTGTGTTGCCAGAAATCCTAACTAGGGCCATTATTTTATGAGGATCTTCTGAAAACTAGAATCTTAAACAGTAGGAGGTGAAATATTAGCACAACTTAGAAAAAATTATTAGTTAAAACTCATTAAATCTGATTACTTATTTTGTAGAATAGGACTCTTGGAAGAAAGGATTTAGAATACACTTTTTTCTTCTGAAAATTTTCAAATGTATCCCAACTGGTATAAGGAATTCCCATAAACCCAACAGTCAGATTCAGTAATTATCAAGATTTGTGACATTTGTTACCTCTCTTTTTTCTTTTTGAAGTATTTAAAACAACTCCCAGATAATGTCATTTCATCTCCACATACTTTAGTATGCATCTCAAAACTGTGAACGTTTTAGTACAAAACCATAATGCTATTGGTGTTCAGTAAAATTAATAGTAATTCTGTGATATCAGTAGTTACAAGTTGATGGAATATCCTGATTGTCTTAAAATGCTTTTCCTTTTTTTACAGTTGGTTTGTATAAATTAGCGTCCAAAGTGTTTATATTACATTGACTTGTTCTGGCTTTAAGTCTATAATTCCAGAACAGTCCTTTCTTCCCTTCCCCACTCAGCAAGTAGCCTGTAGACATTAGATTAGTTGTCCTATAGAATATCCTACCTTCTGGATTTATCTGTTTGTTGCTTTGTGATGTCAAGTGACTTGTGTCTCTCTTCTCTGTGTTTCCTCTGAATAGAAAGTTGGCTCTGCAGACTTAATTACATTAAATTTTAACTTATTAACAGAACACTCCCCAGGTGGAACAGAAAGATTTCTGAAGCTAGACACAAGAATTGGGAAAGGCCTCGAAGGCTTGGTGCTGCCTCTTGGATGGCAGATCAAGCTTAAGAAATTCAGTGGTCAGGCAAGGGCTAGAATCCTCCACTGAGGAGAGGTATCTGAAGTGAGAAAAGGGTGACACTGGAGAGAAGCCTCAGAGGACAGCTTTGCCTACTTTAGAATCATACCTAGGGCTGAGGGACTCAGAATTGAGAGAAGGCTTATTAAAAGTCACTCAGGCCAAAGCTCTGCTTGATGTCTGAACATCATTGTCACTGAATCTTCGATTTCTCTCTGAACCATTATACAGAGAAGAAACTTATTACCCCTGTAAAAATACAGACTTACCTAACAGTATAAAGAACACTGAAGTCAGGGTTAAGACAGTCTTACACAACCGCTTACTAGCTTTAACTTTTCAGAGACTCAGTTCCCTCCCTAATTGGCAAAGCAGAGCTAATGATGCTTTTTGAAATCTGTCTTAAGGAGTTAGAAGTGTGAAAGGAGACAATTTCTAGGGGCTCTGTCAGTGTAACATGCTATACAGAAGTAAGAAGAGGACTTGGTATTGTCCTCATTCTTCAACCCCTAGGCTGTTATTCATCCAGTGTGAACTGATGTAGCAAATGTGCATTAAGGACCTGCTGTGCTTTGGGTGCTAGAGTATGAGGCATGAGGATGGTCGATATAGTCCTTACCTTTGTGGAAAATACCTTAAAATCTGCTAGTTTAAACTTGTACCTTATGTGATAAATGTGTAAAATGCTGTAATAAGGGCCTCAAGCTAAGCTACTGGCCCTAAAGATGGATGGAAAGGAAGAAACAGACTTGAGCAATATTTAAGAGACCAAATCGACACAACTTGATAATAGATTTCATGCAGGGAATGAGAATGGGGAAGGATTTCAAGGACTGGATTTTACCACTGGTATAGTGACATGGTGTAGAGAAAAAGAGAGTCAATGACTCAGATTAAACACAGTTTAAGGTATCTGTGAGATAGCTAAGTGGTGGTATCCAGGATAGTTAGCAATATAGTCTAAAGCTGAGGGTAATATCAAGGCTGGAAAACAAATATTTGTGAATCATCATATTCTGGATGGTGGTTAAAGCTATGGATATGGATGAAAAGGCCCAGAGACAGGATATAAAAAGCACAATGCTTCAAGAATTGGATATTCCATGATTTGAGACACCAATTGAGGCCTGTCACTTAGTGCCTACTCTGACAGTTACTCAATCATCACTAAATTGTAAGGGAGGAGAGTTGAGCTTTAGATTATGACCTCCTGTTTAACACAGTCATGTGAACTTAAACTTGGTTTCACCATGCCATTAAAACCCATAGTTAGTGTACTTAATGCTTTCTTTAATGCCAGTACTCAAAATGTGCAGTTTCTAAGAAAAATATTCCAACAAGTATGCAGTAGTGATTATCAAAATTGGTCTTTATTGTCCATTCACTTGATGGCAGTGTACTCTTCACAAAATGTAATAGCTCAGAGAAATAATCATCCTGTGAGATGATCAGATTGTGAGGAAAAGTAGCCTTCCCATAAATGTTTCTGCAACAACAATAGTAAGCCTCAGGGAAAAGGAAGTGAAGAGGGAAGTAGATGTGTTTAGTTTCTAGATTATAAATTTCAGGTTTATCCCATGGTGGTGTACATGTTCATGGCTTACACTGGAGGCTGCCAAGTTTTTAACACCTTGATTAGCCCGTGTTACTCTCATCATAGCTCCAAAGACCGGGTATTCCATCTGAAAACAACCTCTTCTCATCTTATTACAACTGTTTATGATCTTGTTTTTTTTAAATATTTGAGAATTTTTTGGTGTTCTAAGCTTCTTGTCAGGTTTTTTCTGTTTTAGCAAACTCCTTAAAAACGAACAAACAACAACAACAAGAAAAAAACAGGCAGCCTAATGCCAATAGAAGAGAAGAAATAACTTACACTGTTTTCTACTCTCATTTTAATAATCAGATGAGTTAATTTAATAGTGACTAAACAGTAAAATGAGATGCATGTTTGGGCATGTTTTGTGGTCTCCATGGTAACCTTAGATTTGAAGACCTTTGAGAAGAGAGAGATTACATTACTGCAGGGACACTCAGCTGGCTAATGCATTAATTCGACATGGAGTTTTCAGTGAAATGACTCTTGAACTTGAAAAACATTTTTTAAAATAATTTTTGCCTCTGATATAAATGAACACAGCTCACTTTTGGACAGACTTATGTCTGGGAGGCATCTGAGGTTGATCACTCAGTAGAACAGTATAATACAAATGCAATGGCAGAACAGCCTTCACACTCTTCTCAGCTTGTCTGCAGTGCACAGATTAGAAAGATGAAAGCACCTCCTTTGACTTGCTGCTGAGCCGTGATGCCACAGCCATCAGCTTAACAAGTCCCTATGCTGGCACAAGTTCAGTCTTATAAGGCAAAAGA